TGTGCAGTACAACTTTATTATCTATTCCCACTAGTAAATTGGAAGTTGTAATCCCAGCCCAAAACCTACTGCCCAGGTTATTATGAGAATTGATAAGTTAATTGTAGCTTTTAATACTTTGTATTCTTTGGAGAAAGGTTATTTATCATAAGCTGTTCTGTTCTTGTAAAATTGCTTAAGTTTGACAATCTTTCTCTGCTATAAATTATTGAAGAGTGAAGCTTTTGGGATTCAAGTGGGATGGGAATCATTCCTTTTAATCAACATTTTGCTCAGTATGTTAAATTTAAGAACGGTGCCATGACATTTTGCCTTACTCAGATTCTTTGGCTCTTTAAGAAGTTGCATTATTTTCTTTTTGCTTCTTTTCCTTTTGTTATACAAGTAATACATGTTTATGCTGGAGACATTATATACACTAGAAAACAAAAGACAAAAGAATCTTACCACCTACTCTTTTAAAACAAAAATGAGGCCATAGTATACGTTTTGGTTTTTTGTAACGCCTTTTTATTTTTTCATTTAACAGTGAAGCAAGCACTTTTTCAAGTCAGGAAATACTGTTTTACATTGGTTATTATTCATGGTTGCATAATATTCCATTGTATGGCTATTCCAGAATTTAAGTGAATTATTGGGCATTTGATTTGTTTTGTTTTTATTGTAAGCATCATCATGAAGTACTAAATGCAGATCTAAATAAAAAAAGGAAATCTAAACTTATAGCAAAAATTAAAATTCTAAGCTTTGGTTGTTTGAGGCAGGTACAGCTAATATTGAGTGCTAACTAGATTTGCCAAGTCCATTTTTACATGCACGGGTCTTCAGGTACAGCAATGTTTTAGGAGATTACTTACTTTCTATTTTTCCTGTGCATTAAGAAGTCTTGCTGAAATTCCTTTTATGTTTGTTTTTTGTCTATAGGTTATAATAATAGTGCAAATAATGGGTGTTGTTGTCAGGCACTAGGCTAAGTAAGTAATGGAGAGTATTTTATTTTATTTTATTTTTTATTTATTTATTTATTTTTTGGAGAGTATTTAATCATCAAGCAGTCTTGTGAGGTAGGCTCTGTCATTTGCAGATGGGGAAATTGAGGAACAGCATAGTTAAATAATTTAAATGAGGGTAGAGCCAGAATGTGAACCCAGACCTGTTCCCCTTACTTAACAAAGTGAGTGCCTTTGGGGGTAATATTGAATCTCAGCATACTTACAAAGTGAGTGCCTTTGGGGTAAGATTGAATCACAGTATAGTATTTCAAAGTTTATAAAAAGGGGGAGGGATGAAGACTTCAATCTTTTTTTTTTTTTTTTTTTTTTTTTTTTTTTTTTTTTTTTTTTTAAACAGTATTGTTTGGCTATAGAAAGATAATGATTTAGGAGTTAGGAATGGAATTCCTTCTGAAGAGGTCGCTTTTTCCCCTTCTGTCCTTTTCCTCCTCCCTACTTATTTAGATGATTGTTTTAGTAACTACTCTTTGCAGTGCATCCTGTGGGGATATTGAGACCAAGGAGAGCGGGTGTAAACAAAGTAAACTCTTGCCTTTGAGATGTACGTGATTAATGTCAAGTTCACAGATGTACTTTGAGGGTCAGAGAAATCTTGAAAGAGATGGGATTCGAGCCAGCAGATTTTTAAGTTGTGAACTTTAAGGAATTGTATAACTCTAAAATAACTTGGAATGTTTGCCGCTTAAGTACCTTCTGTGGTGTGATGTTAATTATGACCTTTTTTATGTGTGCTGGGTGAACCTGGGTTTTCCTGAGTAAGTTTTGTGTAAGCTATGTAACATCTGTGTCCTTGCCTGGATCCCCACGGGGAAGCTGTTTCCTGCCATGGTTGAGACTTAACTGCAGAGCTCTGGGTTAGTAGGCTACAACTCCTCACAACTACTCTTCTCACACGTTGTACCGATCATCTTATACTGATAATGTGCTTTCCTTCATTGCTAGTATCAACTGTGTATTGGTATGAATTCAAAAGAGGAGGAGATGGAATTGATGGGAAAGACCTGAGAGTGATTTTTGTTTATGGGAGAAAATTCTTTGCATGTTATAAAACTAACTCAGTGTATTTTGAACGAATAACTTAAACATTGGTTTGTTTACCAGTTGGTCTATAGCACAACTATTTATGCCATATTAGGAATTACTGCTAAATTTAAAATTTGAAATAGGAAAAGTAGACATAGAACAGTTTGTGTCACATAGAATGCCGTATGCCCGAAAGGTCCATAAGGCTCTGTAAGCCCTAGAAGATCTAGTTATCCATAGGATGTTCATTAAAATACAATCTTAGAACAAGAAACTTTTTGGCAAGTATAAGGAGCAGTAGATATATTTGGTCTTTAAGTGTATTGGTATTTCTCAGTCATTTACTTAAATATTTCAATATTTGTAATTTGAATTGTCATCCTGTAAAGAATCTTAGTGTATTCCTATAGGGCCTAATTTCCTATGTTGGTATTGATCTAGAGATAAAAATGTTTGACCAAATTGGAAGTTGCCCTTCTTTATTTTTTACTGTGGAGAAGGTTGCTTTAGTTCAGTGATCTACAAATTTTTTGGTCTCAAGACCCCTTTTCACTCTTAGAAAATGTTGAGAACCACAAAGAGCTTTCTTGCGTTATCAATAGTTGCTGTATTAGAAAGTTTGAGAAGTTTGAAAAATAATTATTTACCAATTCATTTAAAAATGAGAAACCCATTACATATTATGAAAAATAGCTTTTTACCAGAACAGAAGAATTTAGTGAATGGGATTGTTTGTTTTTGCAATTCTTCTAATATCCAGTTTAAGAGATACACGTAAATCTGTATCTGATTTATGTGAAGGTACCAGCAGTTTTGCTCAGCCTTGTTTTTGTACCCTCTTTGCAAACTTCAATGCAGTGAAAAAAGGCAAATAATGTTTTAGTATTCATATGAAAATAGCTTTGATCTTGTGGCCCCTTGAAATGGTCTTGGAGCTCCTAAGTCTGTAGACCGTGCTTTAAGAATAGCTGGCTTAGCCCCTATGTTTATGGTAGCATTATTTGCAGTAGCCAAGATATGGAAGCAGCCTGAATGTCCATCAAGTGATGAGTGGATAAAGAAGATGTGGCATGTATATGCACAATGGAATATTATTCAGCCACAAAAAAAGAATGGAATCTTGTCATTTGCAACATCATGGATGGAGCTAGAGAGTATAAATGTTAAGTGAAGGAAGTCCGTCAGAGAAAGACAAATAGCATGCGATTTCACTTATCTGTGGAATTGAAGAAACAAGACAAACAGGCAAAGGGAAAAAGAAAAAGAGACAAATCAAGAAACACTCTTAACTGTAAAGAACAAACCGAGGTTACCAGAGGGGAGGTGGGTAAATAGTAAATGGGTGATGGGGATTAAGGAGTTAACCATCATAGTGAGCAGAGTGATGTATGGAATTGTTTTTTTTGTTTTTTTTTTTAAAAAGGCTTTTAACGTTTATTTATTATTGAGAGAGAGAGAGAGAGAGAGAGACAGAGCACGAGCGGGGGGAGGGGCAGAGAGAGGGGGAGGCACGGAATCCAAAGCAGGCTCTGAAGCTGTCAGCACAGAGCCCAACGCGGGGCTCGAACTCATGGACCGCGAGATCATGACCTGAGCCAAAGTGAGTCACTCAACCACTCAGCCACCCAGGCACCCCACGGAATTGTTGAATCACTATATTGTACACCAGAAACTAACACTGTATGGAATTAAAACAAACCCCCCCCCAAAAAAACTTAAAAAAATAGTTGGCTTAGTTCTTTACATAAATTTCCTTTTGCTCTTAAACCAGTTAAGTCAAAGGGGATATAGAAGAAGCAGATGACTGAGGTTTTTAGTTTGGGCTACTAAATGAAAGCAGCACCATTACCGGAGATAATAAAACAGGGTGAGGAGTGTGTTGGAGGAAGAGAGTGAATTTTGAGTTTCTGGGAGCTTGAGGATCCTAGAGGTAGGAATGTTGATCAGTGAAGCTCAGCAAGCGGAGAATTAGGAGGCCGCACTATACTAGTGGTTGTTGCTAAGGAAGCGAGTTGAGAGAGAAGGGCAGAAGGGACCTTGGTGTCAAGGACATCAGGAAAAGAGCATTTCGAGAAGAATGGGGTGGTTAGCACTGCCTAATGCTTCAGAGAAGTTATATAGATTGGGGACAGAGATTTGACCATTGGATTTGATAATGAGATCACTAGTGCCCTTTGCCAGAGCAGTAGGATTAGAAGCCAGATTATGAGAGAGAGAGAGTGCAGAGGCAGCTATTTATACTATTCTTTTAAGAAATTTTGGGGTAAAGAAAAAGAAACGAATTGGGCAATTAATTTGAGAGGTGGGCTGTACTGAGGACAGTGAAAGAAAAACTTGATGAAACAAACTGGTAATACAGATGTGATACAGTTAAGCCTTTAGCATGAACTATCTTTCAGAGAAGCGAGAAGCTGATAAGCACTGTATTCTCTGGCTAGAGAGATGTGCAGATCTATGACATTTTGCATAGCAACTTTTTGGGGAGTTCCTTACTAATTCTTCTCTGTTTAATTGCTAAGCATTTGATACATTTGCTTTAAATCCACCAATTTCAAGAAGTTGTAAAGTATTATTTTTTTTTCACGCAGATGATTTAACTTTAACAATCTGATTCTTTCAGAATGGAACTTCTATTTTGGCTGCTTTCAATCTGTGGTAACAAGGAACAAAAAAAAGGGTGGAATTCTTTCTCTGTGCAGGAAATGTCCTGTCCCTGTCCTTCTTCTGCCCCATCCCCATATTCGAGTATCCAGAATAGTCTGAGTGTTTTTCTTTCTGGAGGCAGAGTGAATTATAGCCTCAAGTGGTGTTTGTATTAAAAACGTGTGTTGTTTTCTAGTGTGCGTATATTTCTAACTTCCTTTTTTTCTTTCTCTTTTAGTCTGTTCTCTGGGGAGGCGGTAAGGGGCCGTGGAACTGGCCTCGGCACCGGGAGAGGCTGGACTTCCTGTCTCTCTGTGCTGAATGGCTGCGATGGCGCCCGCTCTCACTGACGCAGCAGCTGAAGCACACCATATCCGGTTCAAACTGGCTCCCCCATCCTCCACTTTGTCCCCTGGCAGTGCCGAAAATAACGGCAACGCCAACATCCTTATTGCTGCCAACGGAACCAAAAGAAAAGCCATTGCTGCAGAGGATCCCAGTTTAGACTTCCGAAATAATCCTACCAAGGAAGACTTGGGAAAGCTGCAACCATTGGTGGCATCTTATCTCTGCTCCGATGTAACATCTGTACCCTCAAAGGAGTCGTTGAAATTGCAAGGTGTCTTCAGCAAGCAGACAGTCCTTAAATCTCATCCTCTCTTATCTCAGTCCTATGAACTCCGAGCTGAGCTGTTGGGGAGACAGCCAGTTTTGGAGTTTTCCTTAGAAAATCTCAGAACCATGAATACGAGTGGTCAGACAGCTCTGCCACAAGCACCTGTAAATGGGTTGGCTAAGAAATTGACTAAAAGTTCAACACATTCTGATCATGACAATTCCAGTCCCCTCAATGGGGGAAAACGAGCTCTCACTTCATCTTCTTTTCAGGGGGGTGAAGTGGTGGCATCTGAATCTGGGGACTTGAAGGGGGGTATGACCAATTGCACTCTTCCACATAGAAGCCTTGATGTAGAACACACAACTATATTTAGCAATAATAGCACTGCAAACAAATCTTCTGTAAATTCCATGGAACAGCCGGCACTTCAAGGAAGCAGTAGGTTATCACCTGGCACAGACTCCGGTTCTAACTTGGGGGGTGTCAAGTTAGAGGATAAAAAGTCTCCCCTGTCTTCCATTCTTTTCAGTGCTTTAGATTCTGACACAAGGATAACAGCTTTACTGCGGAGGCAGGCCGATATTGAGAGCCGTGCCCGCAGGTTACAGAAGCGCTTACAGGTTGTGCAAGCCAAGCAGGTGGAGAGGCATATACAGCATCAGCTGGGTGGATTTTTAGAGAAGACTTGGAGCAAACTGCCAAACTTGGAATCCTTGAGGCCCCGGAGCCAGTTGATGCTGACTCGAAAGGCTGAAGCTGCATTGAGAAAAGCTGCCAGTGAGACCACCACTTCAGAAGGACTTAGCAATTTCCTGAAAAGCGATTCAATTTCAGAAGAATTGGAGAGATTTACAGCTAGTGGTATAGCTAACTTGAGGTGCAGTGAGCGAGCGTTTGATTCAGACGTCACCGACAGTAGTTCAGGAGGAGAGTCTGATATTGAAGAGGAAGAACTGACCAGAGCTGATCCTGAGCAACGCCATGTACCCCTGTGAGTAAAACCTGTGCATAATGTCATTCTTGAGAAGTGTTGGGACAAGGGAGAAAGAATTAGTGAATTCCCACCATGGGGAGAATAGGATTCTTTGTAGGTAGGTGCCTATGTTCCATTTGTCTTTTTTCTGATTTTAGGTAGGTGGATGCATATACCTGCTAGTGGAGAAACGAAAGATATTTCTGGCAGAGTGTTATGTTGCTGTAGATCTTGTTTATTAAGAAAAAAACTAGAAGACCTCCTATTTGTGAAACTACATACCTCTTTCAGAGTGACTGGTTAGATTTCTTTTGAAATTGTATGTAGGGTATTTTTGTAGGTTTCTATAACTTGACTTCAGATCCTGTTGTTTCTGGTTAAGTGGGGACAGAAATTCAGCTGATGTAGTTAACTAAGCTGGAATTTGGTTTTATTTATTTATTTATTTTTAACATAAACTCCACCCCCCCAGCATAGGGCTTGAACTCAGGACCCAGAGATCAGGAGTCACATGCTGTACTGACTGAACCAGCCAGGCACCCCGTAGTTGCTTTTAATTGAACTTTCAGCAGAGAATGTACCCAGTCTTCACTTTTAATACTTGAGATTTCCTTACCTGTTAAAGACTAATAATCAGAAAATGCTTCAGAGTATTTTATTTATGGGTTGCTTCCAAATACAATCTGCTTTCACAACTTGATTTACTTCCTAAAAGAGCCCATCTTGATCACATTTGGATTTTATTTTTCTCTCAGCTAAGTTTAAATACATTGACATATTTGGGATAGGTTCTTACTGGTTTTTTTTAAATCTCTTGTTTTGAGAAAAATTCTACACAGGCTTTGGGTGGCGCTCCAAATTGGCACGGTGAATCCAGAGGTACCTTACTCATGTCCTTCCGTCCTGCATTTGGCTCCTTCCAGATAAGCAAGGGGGTATAGCATATCTCCTTAAAGATAAATCAGCCTGCCTTATATCTACTTAAAATAAGTGTTAGACTTACGAGAGAGGGAAGCACGAGATGTTGGAAAAGAGGGGCAGGAGAGTTGACTCCTTCCATTTTCTCTTTGGGCCAGGGATGTTACTAAGGTTGGATTACTAAAGTAGGCTGAAATAGATGGATATGTTGGAATAATTGGGTTTTCCTTGCCTGTGGTATAAAGGTGACCAAGATTTTCGCTGGAGACTGTTGAGATAGCCATGCTTTAAGCATAAGTAAATTTCCTTTTTTCTCGATTTTATTTATATTATTCACATGGATAACTGTGCTGTATCTGAATATGCAATTTTGGTTTCTGTTTCAGGGGGAAAAGTCTGGATTATTTTGCTGGAATTTCTTCTTTGTAGATCTAGTTCCTAGTTCATTACCTTTTGTTAGCTTATTGTACTCAAGTGTCCACTTCTGTATTCAGATCTAAAGTAGATCTATTTCAGTGGCTTGCTACTGCTGTAGCATAGTTATCTTTCCTTAAATGGATTAGTAATTTAAATCAGCTTGCAGATATTTGTGGCATTATCCCACTGACTTTGTTGCATAAGCCACTGCTTTAAAAAATCTTGGTTAACGTTGAATATTTTATGTTTTAAAAGTAATTTCATGAAATAAATACTTTAGTTGAAGCATTTTAAGTTTCATGTACTTTGTGTATTTGAGGGGAAAAAAATCTAGAATCTGTAAGCTTATTGTTTTCAGGATACTTTGTATTGAAAACATTTTTAAGTTTTGGTAATGTTGTGGGAAACCGTTCAATTCAGTGAGATCAGAATACCTAAGAGAGAACTTTTCTTCCAGGGAATAATCTACTGATTTGAAAAGACTGTTTAGGCTTAGTCCATTCACCTACTAAATTCTGAGCATTCTTATCACGTAATGCTTTGTTGATTGGAAGGTTGTGAAGTGTAAGGATAGCTAAGGGATCATTTTAGGAAACTTTGGAATCATTTGAATCTTTTTCAAATTAAGTCAACTAAACAATGCTTTAAAAAGTTGAATTTCCATGTACCCGATCATATTAAAGTAAGGAAAATTGGAGCACTAAAAGTACTATGGAGTAAATAAACTTTTTGCTCTTTATGATATAATTGAATTTAAATTAAAACGACCAGTAAAGCATAAGTACTTTAAAGTTCTTGTTGAGCCAGGTCACCAGATTGACTCCTAAGGCTGCTATTTAGCCAGGTGTTGACCTGAGTACTTTACAGCTTTTCAGCAATTGGCCACTGAGAATGGAGGCATTACTTTGATTAAAAAAGAAAAACGGGGATGGGGAAATAGTTGTTTGGACGCGGAGAATCCTTTTGTACGAGTGTGTGATTTAATAGTTCTTCCCAGATCTCTTCACCACATTTATAATTTGTAATTCTTGAGTCCTACAGTAAGAAGTTAGTTAACTCTGCAGGAGATTGACCCATCTGGTGAATTTCAACTGTTTTTCCCCTTCTAGTAGCTTAATATTTCACTCCTTTGCTGAAATACTCCTGCCAGAGACAGCTAGATTTAGTCTAGGCAGCCATGATGAAAATATTTAGCACATGAGGTTGTTGAAATGAATTGTTTTTAAATGATGGTGCTTAAGTTGCAAGTGGATGGTTCTGTGAAAATGACCAGCCTTCACCAAGAATTTGTGTTTTTTCTTCTTTCCTACCTCCAAAAGGAAAAACAGTGATCCATTGTAAGTCATAGGCACATGCTAGCAGTAGTAGAAATGATTGATTTTTATGTTGAGTTTTTGGCAAAATGTATGTTTATCATTGTATTATACTTTATAGTTAGTAAACTATATTGCCAGATGAGGTATTTTAGAGAAGTTTTTTCCTCTTTATTGATTAACCTTTTGGTTAACTGATTTTATTTAGTTTAAAACTGGTATTATACCTTTTTAAGTTCTTTTTGGAAAATCATCCTGAAATGTTTCCTATGTCTTCCTGTCTTGGTATATGTAACTACTTTGAAATTCTGCACTACACTGGGTTTGACCTTTATCGTTGTTTAGTAACATCACTGTGGAAGGAGGAGGAATTTAAATATTATCATCTTGATGGAGGAACTAGCAAGGAAGGCACATGTTTCAGTAAACACCTTAATTTTTAATTCTTAACTTTAGAAGTAGAAATAAAAGCATCTAGTTATCTCCTGTGGATGTAATACAGTTACTGAGTGGGCATGTGTGTTTGTGTGCACATCTTTTCCACTTTAGTTTTTCTTTATGTTCCACCTTCTCTTTAAGAGTTTTGTTCTGCTGTTTTGTTATGAACTCCTGGACCAGTAAATTTTGCTAAATTTGGTTTTTATTTTCTTGGCCCTTGTACTTAGAAACTTCTATAGTAAATGCTTGCTGTTAGGAAAATACCTTTTTTTCCCCCCAGATATTCTCTTAAATGCTTTCTTAGGTCAGTAGTGTTCTGGGTACCTGGACATTAATTATGTAAACCTTTTTTTCCTAAAAAAAATATTTTCTTCTTTCTGAACTGTTACTATAGGCTTATCTTGAGGATCATTATAAAAATCCCATAAAACATTTAATTAGGACTACTGAAATATTTGTTGTTTTACATATATCGCATATATCTTTATATTACACAGTGCCTTCTTTATAAGAACCTCAGGGAGAAAGATAACACAACCAAGACTTAAGTGTATTTTTTCCTAAGCTTTTACGTCTGTTTCTGTTACTTGGATGCTATAATTTGTGTTGTTCGCTTGGTTTCTGTTTTCCTATTGGCTTTTCGAAGTTTAGAGCCAGGCTCGTAGGTCTTGTACCTTTTTCCAAGCCTCATTCTTGGCTTCATTTTGTTCTTCTTGTTCTTGTTTTATTTTCATGCTTTTATTTCTGGTTTAATTTACGCTAACCTATGTTTTATTTGATAGCCTCCTGAGGTCTGTTTCCGATCAAGCTTGGGTAAAAAATAAACTAGATGCTCAGTTTAGTGATATTAAAGAAGTTGTTTGAATTTTAGGTTATCTTGATTGCAGTGACTTTTCTTTATTTCTGGGGAATTTCATTCTCTTGGAATCGTTAACAAACCGTGAGATAATGACCTGAGCTGAAGTTGGAGGCTCAACTACTGAGCCACCAGGTGTCCCTAGCTTCGATTCTTTTAATGCCTGTGTGTGTGTGTGTGTGTGTGTGTGTGTGTGTGTGTGTGTGTGTGTGTGTGTTAAATAGTCCATTAAAGTGATTACTGAATTTGTTACTGTGTGGGATGCATATGTGGGAATAATTCCATTGTGTATAATGAATTACTAGTGTGTTTGTAGGTTTTGCTTTTGAGATACTCTAGCCAGGATGCTTTGCGTTGTAGTTTCCTATTTGAATTTATTAAGCACACACGAGTGATGTTGCTAACAGTGGTAGTCAACATAAATTGTCCTTATTTTCCTGTTCTTTATGCTTTCACAGAATGATGGAGCGAGAGTAGTATTAGCCAGAACTAAGTCTTATCTAACCCTTCTCTGCTACAAACTAGCCATAGTGCTAATCATCTAGCTACTTTTATAATAAAAATGAAGGAAGTGACTAGATAATTTCTGAGACTCAAACACTTTTGAATTCTGACCACTCCATCTTTACATAACATGGGTGGATGGAGCTGTTCTTAGCACTGTTTGTTTCTGTTTTTGCATTTGGGGAAACTGAAGCAAAAGTCCCTCCCTATAAGTCACTGGTGTAACGTGAAACAAAACAACCTTTTTGATTTGTGACTTAGAGCTTTGATTCTTTGTTTTTAAATGTTTGAGAGAGAGTACAAGTGGGAGAAGGGCAGAGAGGAAGAGGGGAACAGAGGATCTTAAGTGGGCTCTGTGCTGACAGCAGTGAGCCTGATGCGGGGCTCAAACTCATGAACCGTGAAATAATGACCTGAGCTTCAACCTACTGAGCCACCCAGGTGCTCCTAGCTTTGATTCTTTTAATGACTTAGTGTGTGTGTGTGTGTGTGTGTGTGTGTGTGTGTGTGTTTAAATAGCTTATTAAAGTGATTACTGAAATCGTTATTCTGTGGTATACATGTGTGGGAAT